AGCCACCAAGAAAATCAAAATCAAGCAACTTGTAAGCTTTCTCTTCATTCTGCATCTGCTTCGGATACTTCTCACCCTCTGTGCTCATGCCCAGATTTATGAGATCGCTGCTGCGCCTCTTGACACGCCGCCGCCCTGGGTCGCAGGCAGAGGACAGCAATGACGAGCCGCCTGACGAGGCATCATCCGCCGCGGACTGCCTCACGCCGTTCCTGCCCCCGGGCCTGGGCGCAGGCAGCATGACGCATTAGCAGTGCCTGGCGGGGCGGGAGCACTGCCTGCGGGCCCTCAAGGACTGGCTGGTGCAGCGCGCCAACATATACAGGTGCGCAGCGATGGCAGGGACCTGCTGCGGAGTGCGTGCTCAAATGCGCGGACCGCGGTTTGTGGTTGTCAGGGCAGCGGCATGCTCGTGCCACAGTGTGTTGGGTGCGTGCGGGCATGCGGATTTTGTTGATGTGGGGTCGGCTGCTGCATGGGGATCGCGCGCTCAGCTCTTCGTCGTGCGCGAGCGACCGGCCTGCGACCGCGTTGTCGCTGGGTCTGCGCTTCAAGAGCCTGCCGCCCGCGCCTGCGCCTGGGGCGCTGCTGCCGCATATGCTTGACAATGCCGACTCCGCAACCCCCTCCAAACCGTGGAAGGCGCGCCTGGACGAGGAGCAGGCGGCGCTGGCGCGGCGCCAGGCGGCGTTCTCTCGTGACAGGGACATGCTGACGCCCGCAGAGGAGGAGGAGCATGAGGTGGCGGCGCAGGAGGCTGGATTCAGGATCAACATACTGCAGGTGGCTGCGCGCTGGGGCCTCATCTCGCTGGCTGTGACGGACAGACGGCACTGTCTTCCTGCATGCGCTAAGAGTGGCTGCTCGTGTACATGCGGACGCTGCTCCGGCCCCATGGATGGATAGGCTGCTGTCTTGGTGCATGGTGTTGCCGCGATTGACTTCTCGCCATGCGGCCACGGCGAACCCCCATGCAGCGGCGCCTGGCGCGCCACGAGGAGGCGGCGCTGTCAAAGTACTATGAGCTGGACCGCAAGCTGCGCAACGATGCACGGCTCTCGCTGCTGCTCGTGCCGGCGTAGCGTGCGTGTGAGGGAAAGAAGGCGGCCCCAAAGTAAAATTTGACCAAACCGCAAAGCGTGTGCAGCTAGGATCGAGTGCTGCCGGTTGAGTGGTCCAGCTGTGTGGGCACGCTACACATCGAATAATGAGCTCCGGCTCTGTATCGGCCACCTAGATGGGGATACAACAGGGTGTGATTGGAACCGTGCGTTTTGGATCGCCACACAGGACACTATCTTAGAGGGACCAGCGTACATGCCATGGCTCCTGTGCCTCGTCAGCCGCCTGTGCCGGTCAAACCCCCACTGGCGATGCTGCCTTTCATCACACTGGAAACCGCGGCAATCACGAACAACCTACTTTTTCGGTGTTATTATCTTCCTCGCCGTCATAAGCCTACACTACAAGTGCTCGAGTGGAGGCTGATCTATGCACGCGTCTATGATACTATGAAACTCCTCAAAGATGCGGTTTGCTGCCCTTGTTTTGCCGCGGATGTCGCCAGGGACGACGACTCTCGTCAACCGACAACTAGCATGGAGGAGGGTCCGTCCAAGTGCGGCGCTCAGGTGCAGGCGCAACCCGACGCAGCGGCGCCTGGGGCTGGGCAAGCGACGATCATTAGCAAGCAGCTAGATGTTGCCGCCCTGGATTTGCTCTTCATGGACATCAGGAATGGCCGCATGCCGTCTGCCGAAGAGCTGCCTTCAACAATCAACGGGCTCCTTGCTGCCCTGTCAGCAGAGCACTGCAATCTTGCTGCAGCAGTGCTCTGGCGAATCGTCTGCAAGATGTCCGTGCACGACAACGCCACCGTGCTGCCTGCGCTGGTTGCCCAGCTACGAGTCCCCTGCGCATTTGAAGCGGCCAGCGAGGCGCTTGTGCAGATCTTTTTGTACCGCAGCCACCTCGCGTGCTGTGTTGAGTTGGACGGACTCATGTCAGCATTGGTGGGTGTTGGGTGCTGTGGAGTGCGTGTGCCCACAGCCAATGTGATGTGGCTGCTTGAGCACGTCGTACACATTGGCGCGGGCTCGGGGCGCTCGGTGATTGAGGCCGAGGGACTTCTACCCGCCCTAGTGGACGCTTTGCGCTGCGAAACGACTGCACACAGCGCGGCACGGATGCTGGGACGTCTTGCTTCATCAAGCGAGGAAATTACGCGCGTGTTGGGTGAGGCTGAAGGGCTGTTACCGGCCCTGGTGGGGGCGTTGAACTCTAGTGGCGCAATAGCACATGATGCGGCATGGGTTCTTGCACGCCTCACCTGTCGCAAGGATGACTTGACACAGTGTGTGGTTGAGACCGAGGGCATGATCCCCGCCCTTCTTGGGGCGATTGCGTCCCCCGATGCTGGCGAGGCAGCTGCCTCGGTACTAGCCAACGTTGCTCGCAGCAGCCAAGACTGCGCACGCAAAATTGCTTTTGCGCACGGGGCTCTCGCCGCAGTTGTCAGGGCGTACAAGGCGTTTAATTGGGGTTTGGGGTCTGTCTTGGCCAGCATCGCTCAGATCGACACTCAATTCTGCCAGTGTGTGGCAGCGTTTGACGGTGTGCTTGACACAGCGGTGCTGGGACTGGACATGCCGGCCCAGTCATATCTGGTCGACACACTGATAATGACGCTTGCGACCAACGGTGCCGCAGAGATATTAGCCGCCAACAGCGCGTTAATGGCGGCGATGGGGCGTGCAGCCGCACGCAACGAGCCGGGGGACTTGATTCCGGCTCTCATGACGATTGCGAAGTGTTGCGACACAACCTCGCACAGGGGCCTAGCGGCTGTGCAGGGAATCCTGCCAGGTTTGGCGGCACTGGCTCTTGGGCCACCCGCTTGCTACCCAAGCGCCTGCTGCCGAGTTTTCGCCTTCTATGCCAAGGCGATCCTGCACGACCTGTGTAGTAGAACTGGCGCAACCGTCATCGCTGCCGCCTTTGCACCGTACCTTGCCAATGCAGGCAGCAGCCTTCGGGCGGCCGCACGGGCCTTCCTCTCTGCGCCGCCCTTGTCAGTGCCTGACATCGTCCTGGATGCGATCGAGCACACTGCACGCAACGCGTCTGCCGATGCTGCAGCGCTGCGCGCCCAGGTGGCGGAGCTCGAGGCCATCCCAGTCAACACGCGCGCCGCCATCGTCGAGCTGGCATTCGCCGTTAGGGATACTTAACTTTCTTGCCCCATTACTGGCTGTTGAGCACATGGTCCTTTGTGCCGTGCATTTGCTGTGCAGCTAGCAGCTGCTATGGTAATATTGAGTGTGGCACCCGATCAAAGACTCAGACGACTCTCAACCTTCATGGTGCTGTATGCGGTCTGCATGAGTGCTTGTGCTCTGTTTTGGCAATGCAGCGCGCCCGCACCGCTTTGGTCCTCAGCTTCCATGGTTGTGCAGGCACGTTACAAAGCCGTCACCGACCACTGAGCAGGCCGGGCACTGCCAGCCGCAGCCACCCCACGAGCGCGCCGGCCGCACCCAGCGCCGCCGCCACGGCCGCCGCAGCCGCGCGCCGGAGGGGCGCTCTAGCGGTAGCGCCGCAGGCTGGGGCTGTTGTGCTTGAGCCAGGTGGCGCGCTTGGAGGGGGCGTTCTTGTTGTAGCGGCTGCCCTTGCCGTGCAGGCCGCGGTACTTCTTGCCGGCAGAGGTCAGGCCGCGCAGCTCGCGGCGCTTGTGGACT